GTTATTCAGTGTTATAATTTAGCATTAACAATGCAAACAATGCAGTTGTTTTGGGAACTATGGAATTAAATCAGATAGTTGTACTGGGGACCCAACTGATAATCTCATTATTATCTGTCTGTAAACTCAGTTTTATAAAAGTACAACGGGGTCAAGGTTATGTGCAAGGAGCCGATTCTGGCACATAAATAGTTAATGTGGGCAAGTCTTGTGGTCTAAAGCAGCAGGGAATCCTAGAGAACTATAATAGTGCCATCTGTGGGGGCTGGGGCTTTGTGAGAGATCCTATTCATGCTCCAGGCTCTGCACCCAGAAGCTCAGTTCTCCATTGTTTAAAGTAGGCAATCACACAAACATGACAAGAAAGCAGAAGGCTTTGTTTCAAAGAAATCCAAACACAAGTCTACTTTCACTGAATTTTAACCTCCTACTCCTTAGTGTTCCCAGATCCCACATCTAGCCCAACATTGACCTCTCTTTTGCAGAATAACAGGAATTTCAAAAATATACTTATACACATTTAAAAGTATAGTATCAACCCTCTTAACATTTTCACATGGACAGAGGGATTCTTTAATTTTAGGGGTGTGGGAAAAGAGGAACAACATACTGTCCCACCTAAATAGGGACACTTGGGAGGTATGTGGTGCATTGCAGGAGTACCTTTTAGCAGCACTGTGTCAAAACAAGCTCTTTGAAGACTTTGGTTCTTTTTTATTTTATTATTTATTATTAACTTATGTCTGTGTTGCCATATATTGCTTGTGCTGTGTACAGGTTTTTGTAGGGTTATATTTGTGGGTATGTGGACTGTGTTATAATGTGTGTGTGCATGAGCAGTTTGTGGTATTGTGGTATTTGGGGTACCCCTCCAAAGCACATTGCCAGGGCACACAGTTACACATTGCCACATGCACTACTAGACTCACACACAATGCTGCACACACACAGTCACACTGCTATCACAAACTGCAAGACACACACAGTAACACACAGTACTACACCAACATATTGACAAATCATAATTCCTAACTCTGGAGTCCTGGGAATGGGAATGCTGGTGGGAAGTAGTTAAATGGAGCAGGCCATTGATGCAATCATGTCCCTAGCTCTGACCCCACAGGAGAGAACCCTCTCACAATGGTGGCGGGTCTGCCCTAGTTAATGGCAGGTCAGCCTGGTGTGAATGCATGCCATGCTGCCTGTCTATCATTTAAACCAGCCTGCTGAGGACAGACCCTGCAGGTAGCACCATTTCAGTGCTTTCTGCAGGGTCCTAGGCCCTGAACATAGCATGAGCGCGTCTTATTATGCGCTCATACAATGCTTATTGGGGACAGTTCCCTGGGATCCCAAAAAGCAGGAAACCAGGGAACTGTAAAAAGCAGGAATCATGGGACAGCAGGATTGGACCTGAAAATCAGGACTGTCTTAACAAAATTGGGACAGTTTGGAGGTATAACAATGTGGTACATTTTAGTCACCCTCGTTTTTGCTTACCATTTAGCAGTAGGAGGGTGGCTTTCCTGAGATCCAGCAAAGACTGTGCTGGCCAGGTACAATGCAAGGAAAAGTGCCTCAGGAGGCTGCTCTCCTCCCTCATGATTTCTCTTTCAAAAGCACTGGGAGGAAGTAATCTAAGAACAGTTCATCCCAGTGCTGCCATGAGTGAATTAAGGGCTGCCCCTTACCGCCCCCTACAATTGGGCACAGATATCTGATGAATTGCTACTGGGCCCTTTGTCAAGCCAGCTCCAAGGGGGAGCCTCTGATCTCCCCAGCCGGTCTGGGTCTGGCAGCCTCATGTGCCATAGGTTGCTGTCCCCTGGTATACTGATGCACTAGTACACTTCTTTTCAGGGAGGAGAGAGATTTAAAAACAGAGACCAGAAACAGAGAGGGGTAAGATGGATTAGGGCCAAACATAGGAAAGGAGGGAGAGAAGAAATTCACAGAAAGGTTGAGATTAAAAAACTATTGAAAATATACAAGACATCAAAGTTTATCATCAAAATTATTTTCAAAGAGAACTCAATATAAAGCCAAATGGAAAAAAAGTTTACCCTATTAATTCCCGTTATTCAGTAGAATTACTTTTAACCTACTTTGGTGTCTAAAAACAGTGATGTCAGAGGTGCGACTCTACCTATCCCTACAACCTTTACAACTGTCACTTTACAGAATTTTCAATATTATCTTTGCAATCCAATATATAAGAGGTCTGCCTGGAAATAGTTCAGCCATTGTTATATAACGAGAAAATATAATGAGAACGATTTGTGTGACATCGATGTAACCTAGCCAAGGAGAGTGGACTGCAATGCGCATGCGTGAACAATGACGACTTCACTGTACTGCTCAGTGGGGACACTAGATGCCGTTGAGTGAGCATCTATACTGTGTGGCCGTCGCATTCAAAATGACTGAGCGAGTAGAGCAACGAATCTGCATAAAATTTTGTGTTAAGCTTGAACATTCTTCTGTCGAACTATCCGAATGATTCAAAAGGCTTTAGGGGACAATGCAATGCAAAAGTGTGGCACAAATACTTCCAAGACAGTCGAGAATCTATTGAAAGTGTTCCACATTCTGCAATAAGCAGAACACCTAAAGATGTTGAACATATACAGCCTGCAATCAACAAAGATCAGCAACTGACAGTGCGAGAACTAGAAGTTGATGGTGATTCCAACAAAGGATTTTGCAATGTTTTGAACAGGGGAAGAGATGCTGGGAGAACTGTGTGAGGTCTCAAGGTGTCTATTTTGAAGGGGACTGACGCATCATTGTCCTGTGTACAACGTTTCTTTTTCTTGTACCTTGTATCTTCTTCAATAAATGTCTCTATTCTTCAGAAGTCTGAAAAATACTAATTAAATGTAAAATCCTACACTTTTGAATTTACCTCTATCCTGTACTGAGTACTCATTTTGGTTCCCTGTCAATCATTATTATAAATGTTGCTCTTTTATGCACTTGATCATATTTTAAGGAACACTGCATTTAACTTTTTTTTTAAACAATTTAGTAGATATACCCTCAAAGAATAACATGTATATATTATTTTATGCATGGATTATTTTAGGAGTATTGAATAAGCAGCTTACAAAGCTGCAGATGTGCTTTTTAAAATCTGCCTTTGTAAGTCCCTTTTCCTCTCAGTATAGATAGACTTTCAGTCCATGCTAGGGAATACACCAATCAGGGTTGAGTCAAAAGAAGTTCACGCACAAGCAGGGGTGGGCTGAGATGGGGGGAAGGGAGGCAAGTGCACCCCAGGCCACCCTAAATCCAGGGCCAGTGCTTCCATAAGGCGGCACAGACGGCTGCCTTAGGGGGCACCAGCCCGGGGGCGCAAATATCCGGGTGATCAGCAGGAGGGAAGAGCTCAGTGCTCCTCTCCTGCCGGTCATTTCCTGTAGCGTCGCCAAGCGACAGTACCTTGACTGCCCGGCGCGGAGTGTCAGTCGTGTATAGCTCCCTCGCACGCCCTATCAGTGAAATCCCTATAGTAAAGCACTGAAGCAATGCTTTCCTATGGGGAGGGACTAATGCGCTTGCGGCACTCACCGCACATGCTCATTGCTCCCCCCCCCCCTTCGTTGGATGCCGTCGGAGGAGGTAGAGCGCCGACCAAGCGCCGATGAGAAAACAAAGGTTTTTTTTAATCCTTTCAGTGCTAGATGGGTGGCCATGAGGGAGAGGGGTGGGCCAAAGGGCACTAAAGTGTAAGAAATACAACTTGGTATTCCTTACACTATAGAACATCATTCTAAGCTTTGCAATCTGAGCTACGCCGGCTGATCTATTTACTACAGTCACTCAAAGCATCTGTTCTCAGGGACTCATTTTCTCATTTTCATTTGCAATCAATACATGGGGTCCTAAGTAGATCTCCTGCAATGATTACATCTGTGAATACACATCTCTCACTATGGGAAACTCCCATGTAGGAAGAACAAGCGCCGTCAGTGCACATCTTCATCAGCTGTAGTTCAGCTAAATATAAAACTGCAAGTATGCAAAGATGTATACAACTTTACAGCAGACTGCCAACTAAAAATAGCTAATGCATCTATTAGAGAAGAGTTTAGTGTTACTTTAATTTACCATGAGCAATGCTCATTTTAAAGAGCATATATATCATGTATACATTGTTTAAACAGATTTGCTAGCATATGTGTAGATTATTAAATATTTATAATTAAATTACTGTATCTTCCCCACCTGTCAATCAGTTTTTAGCACAGACCTTTTGTGCTGAGGATTGTGGGAAAAGAGAGAAGCAGGAGAACTTTACCAGTGTTGTACCAACTGTAATTATTTCTCCAGTGAGTACATCACGCATTCTACTGGGAGAATATAGGTATCCAGTGACACATGTCACCCCATTCATAGCCTGATGTGCTGCCAATGAAGGAAGCAGGTTGGTGTCATAGGGAACTGTTAAGAAAAAAAAATAAGGTGAACTCATTGACAAAATGTATCAGTTTGTGTCCATCCTTTAAATGACAGTGGTGCATATAAAAAATAAAAAGTATAAAATAATAATAGTGCAATTTGTGTGATACAACATAATAGTTACATTATGTTTAAAATAACCAACTAGTGCATTTACAAATATATAGATATCTCCAATATCACAATTTAAAATAATGCTATCAACAACTGACACAGATACACACTGCTCTTTATCCACTTAGTTATTAGCTCTACTATCATCCACAAAGGTATGGATGTGCTTCTCGTTACCTCTACCTATATTATTTCAAATTGTGATATTGGAGATATCTATATATTTGTACCTGCACTACTTGGTTATTTTACACATAATGTACACAATATCTGTGTATCTGTGTTTGTGTCAGTGTGTATGTGTATATGGGTGTTTTTTAGTGATGTCCCGAACGATTCGCCGAATGGTTCACGAACGGTTCGCCACGAACGGTTCGCTGCGGACTCATCATTGAGTAAACTTTGACCCTGTATCTCACAGTCAGCAGACACATTCCAGCCAATCAGCAGCAGACCCTCCCTCCAAGACCCTCCCACCTCCTGGACAGCATCCATTTTACATTCATTGTGAAGCTGCATTCTTAGTGAGCTGTCCAGGAGGTGGGAGGGTCTGGGAGGGAGGGTCTGCTGCTCATTGGCTGGAATGTGTCTGCTGACTGTGAGGCCAAGGGGGGCACTGAGCTGTCTGGTAGTCCCTGGGCATCCCCAGTAGTGCTAGTACCAAAGCAGAATGACACGACCCGCTCCTATGTAGACCACCGGAGGTTGAATGACAAAACCATGTCAGACGCTTACCCTATGCCCAGGATAGACGAACTCCTAGATAAGATGTACCTCACTACAATAGATCTTTGTAAAAGGTACTGGCAGATTCCCCTAGCCGAGGATGCCATACCTAAGTCGGCATTTGTCACCCCATTCAGTCTGTACCAGTTTCGGGTCATGTCCTTTGGAATGAAAAATGCTCTGACTTTTCAGAGGATGGTAGATCAGCTACTGCATGGGTTCCATGAGTATGCGTGTGCATACCTGGACGATATTGCTATTTACAGCAACACCTGGCAAGAACACCTGGCCCACGTAGGGGAATTATTAGACTGCATTAGTGAGGCAGGCTTGACATTTAAGCCCAGTTAGTGTCACATAGGCATGGCTGAAGTACAGTACCTTGGCCACAGAGTAGGGAGCGGACAGCAGAAGCCCGAACCCACCAAGGTTGAAGCTATAGCACAGTGGCCTACCCCCTGTACTAAGACCCAGGTTCTGACTTTCTTAGGACAGCAGGGTACTACCAAAAATTTGTACCCAACTACAGTGCCCTAGACCCAGGCAGGTAGTTTGGGGCCCAGAGTGTGAGCAGGCATTCCAGCAACTGAAAACGGCTCTAGTAAATGCACCTGTACTGGCTGTTCCCGCTCCAACTAAACACTTTCTTGTCCACACAGATGCTTCTATGTTTGGATTGGGAACAGTACTGAGCCAAGTCAGAACTGATGGCAGAGAACATCCTGTGGCTTACTTAAGCAGAAAGCAGGAACTTAAGCTATGACTCCCCAGTGTTTTATTCCAGATCCAGACGATTCCAGTGGAGATTTTGTATTTTAGGATTGCTAAATGTAGCACTTTGTAGGTGACATTTTGATAGTGTTTTCTGTGGGTGCACGCCCTAATGTAACGAACCCAGTATGCCTATGCATTTGAAGGATTAGAAATATAGTGTGTCTTTTCAATTAATAGAAAACACAGGAAGAACCACCCATTAAATTTATCTAGCAAAAACAGAGCCACAACTTACATCTATGGTGGTTAAAATGGCGGAAGTTTAAAATAGCTGTCTTCTGGCCATATCAGCAATGTGTATGAAATAAAAAACGTGAAAGAATGCTAATGTGTCTAAACTGTCCTAATAAAAGCTATGTATGCAGAGGTCCCTAGAGAGTTAATTGCATTAATTTCAAATATACATAATCTTATATCCCCGTAAACGTCTGCTTGCAGAACAAACGCTGTTAAAATTCTATTTAGACTTCAAGGGCTATTCACATGTATTGACGGACATATAAGTATCAACATTGTGGGTCTTTGACCCTTTCATAATTCATAACAGCAAGAGTCACAGAATTGAAACATTTGCACTTTTATGTCTTCACTAAATGTGAGTAGCACTTTGGTGCACTTTAGATACCTGTAGTACATTCTTCTAATTTGTGATTGTTTTATCCTTATTGGTGACCACTTTGGGAGCAGCAGTGATGAAGTATTTTGCCGCACAGTACTAAAGCTTTTTAAATTTTGTTTAGGTACTGCACTAACCTACAATACTCTTTTTTTTGGGTTTTCAATCACTTTATCCCTCACCTTAATATTCTTGGTTTGTGAGCCTCATTTTTTGTATTCCATAAAAAATGGTTTATGCTATAAGCAATGAATTGTAGTAAATTGAAAACATACCCTCTGTAGCTTTCCTTTAGTAGTGCCTTACACATGCTTTTGCTATGCGCACAGCAGTGTAGAGGTTAATCCAATTTGGATGCAATGCCTGGCACCACATGTAAAAGATTAAAATAGGAACTCATGAGATTTCATGTCAATAGCACAACCAATAGGTAACTTTTCCTCTCACGTGGCAGTTCTGCTATAAGATGGAGATGTCAGATTATTTAAAAGTTTAATTTTACATATTGCCCTTTGCCCAATGATTGATTCTAGAGCCAGGAACTAATTTGCAACTAGTCCAGGAATGTTTCTGGAACTTATTCCCAGGCTGTTGCTGAGTTTGTTAGCTATTCTGTAGCAATTCCATACCTCCCCAAATTGGTAATTTGAGGTAATGCAGAGAGGCCTTTGTGAAATATGGAAAATTATACATTTTGCGAATTTCATATGGAATTTTACCTGTGAATGATCACAACTTATCCTGAAATGAATTTGTTGAATTTGCTCAAAAAAAAAATTGGAGCTTGCCCTATCTGCATCCCATCAATATCAGAAATGTAATATGTGCAGAGCCACCAAAATTGTTGGCCATACATAAGTAAACTATAAACAGAAAATCACGATTTCATCATAAAAGTTTAATGCACAGAGCAATCATATCATGAAACAGAGAAAAGAGTATACTGTCTGTGTACTTGCATTGAATAGTGTACTATCAGTCTGCATTGGTGGCTGGAGATATAGGATATGTGAAGATTGAGACCTGACTTCTTTCTTAATGGCTGCAGTAATCGGACTCCTGTACCTCCAAGTGACCTCTTTCGAAAACAAAAGACCAATACCAGAGAAATATTCATGAGAGGTGAGATAATACTTTATCATCATTTAATAGTTTTTATGCTGACCAGCGAACTGTCAGTTAACATGTATGATATATATTTTTTTAATATCAGCAACTTTGGTCTGAATTTTAGGGCATGATTGTTTGGTGATTAATCCATTAATTTTAGGTATAAATGCTGGAGGACAATAAAAATGCAGATTATGGTTATTGACCAGAAAAAGAAAAACATTATAGTAAACTATTTTTATTGAACAAATAATGGGAAAATAAGCAAACTCATCATATTCAACAAGAAGCTGAAAACATTGCTTAGAGATTATGGTCCATATCAACATCATAGCATTATGCAGGTTCTACATATTTGTGTGCTGAACATTCATACTGAAAATGTATTGTACCTTCACATTCCAAAAATACTCTCTGGGATTGAGATCTGGGGACTGTGGAGGTTACTGGACTACACTGAAGTTGTCAAATTGGTAGAACAGGCTTGAAATGTGTGTTTTGTGATATGGCACAGTATCACATCGGAAGTATCCACTAGAACAGTGCTCCTCAACCCTCTCCTCAAGGCACACCTAGCAGTCCAGGATTTAGGGATTACTGTTTAGAAAAAAAACCTTTAGAGTCTAAGAGGTGTGTGTGTGTGTGTGTGTGTGTGTTTTAAACACCTTGGATACACCTGGGCAATACCTAAATCCTGGACTGTTAGGTGTGCCTTGAGGAGAGAGTTGAGGAGCACTGCACTAGAAGATGGCTAAACTGTGACCATAAAGTTTTGCACATGGACAGGAACATGTTGTGGCATTCAAACAATGCTGGTGTCATGGCTGCCTCCCTTCATGTATTGTTTATGACAAATTATGGCCCTATTATCTGCATGATCCCAAACACTGCTCTTTACTCTGCAAATTAATACTTTCCTGTGGTCCACTCCATTTTTTTGTATATATTTTTGTCTTTACAGCCGCCCCTTATTGTAGGAGTTGAATTGTTTTGACTTCATACCTGAGGTCTTTTAGGTGACTGGAAGTTCTCTGTCTGAGATAAGCTTTTAGACAACGTGCCAGCTCAGCATTGCAGAAATCAACCATGATGATTTCAGCCAATCTAATGCTTTCCAATAGACAGGCATTGAGAGGCTATTGCGCATGCGTGGCAAAATGCTACACTTTGACAATAAGCATCTCCTCATAGAGATGCATTGAATAAATGCATGTCTATGGGGAACATTCAGCATCTCCATGCAGAGCATGTGTAGCACTAGACTAGGAAGCATCTCTAGTGGTCGTCTTAGTGACTGCCACTTGAGGTGTTTCTTGGTTTCATTTGTCTCTATATACAGTATATAAATATTCAGAGCTCAAATTACCCATCAGCCTTTGGCAAGTAAAAATTCAGGCCTGGTGGGTAGAAATTAATTCCTGATGCATTTGCCAGGGATCCTCATGCCTTTTTTAATTTCAATGTTTGCTTTTTTTAAATGATACATGTGAGCAAAAAAAATATATACAGAACCTGAAATAATCATCTTTCTTAGATGGATTACATTTTACTTTCATCTAAAATGTGTCAGATCCACTTTTGGATGAAGCAATACTGTCTCTTTACAAGTGAATCACACACATTTTAACATATTCAGACTTTTCTAAATAAACATAAATTAAGAGAAACACAAGCATCTTTAGACTATAACTTAATTCTAATTTCTCATGGCAAGATAGATTGCATAAATAAGAAATACATAATAAATATGATTGCCATGGGTGTCAAGAGTACTTGGAAACCGGATACATATAGGGACATATACTTTCTCAAGGAAAGGTCATAAATTAGTTAAGAGTGCATTACAAGCTTTACATATGAATATTTCAGAACGAACCTGTGAAGCAACACTTTGACTGACAAAGTAAAAGGGCTTGCCAGCATAAATATAGCTTTGCTAATAGTTTATATTGGGTTGAATTGCACATCCCAGGATTGTAGGTTTAACTATTGTGTCAGCCTGACGAAATTTATTAAGAGGAAAATGTTTGCTCAGGGCAATGTTCTCAACATAAGTGCCATGAATTAAGTTTTAATTAAGTAAATCAATGCTTGCAGACAAAGTCCAGCATCCCCCAAGTATAGATATAATATGCCTAAATATATTAACCAGACAAAACCACTTAAATTAATTTGTAACACTAGCAAAAAGTGGTGTGAAAGCACTTAAAGGTCGTTCTAAGTACCATAACTACTGTAGTGATACCAGTCCCAGCATGCCTATGGCCAAAGGTGGTTTGATACAAACTAAACATCCTCCAAGGTCTGCTGCCCATCTCCCTTGCACTCCATATTGCTAAAGTGAACGTTATACTTCTGCATTAACAA